TCTCTGTCTCTCTCTCTCCTCTCTCTCTCTCTCTCTCTCTCTCTCTCTCTCTCTCTCTCTGCCTGTCTCTCTCTCTCCCTCCCTCCCTCTCTTTCACATACACACATGCACACACGGGCGCACACATGCACACCTGCATGTGGCACCTTGGCTTACAACTCACCAAAGACGCTAACAGGTGGCTTTTGCTCTCTGTCCCCCAGTGTGATGGAGCTGAGGTAGACCTGAGCAACATCTTCCTCGAAGGCATCGCCATTCTCAACATTCCCAGCATGTACGGCGGCACCAATCTCTGGGGAGAAACCAAGAAGAACAGGGCTGTGATCCGGGAGAGCAGGAAGAACATCACTGACCCGAAGGAACTGAAATTCTGCGTCCAAGGTAAGCCAGGCATGAGGCTAGAGGCCCTCGACCAGTGCCACGGTAAGGCCCAGAACGTTAGTGCTGGGGTCAGGGGTGCCAGCCAACCGCGTCGGGACCCAGCGGGCTCGGTGAAGGCTGTAACCTGGAGGGACCTGGTGCTCCAAGGAAGCTGCACTAATTCATCATCCCTGCTCTGACAAAATCCCCAAGTGGACTGAGAAGACAAGATTCACAAAGAGAGAAAAGGCGGCACCAGTAGAACTGCGAGACACCATAAGGTTCCATGTGGCGCCAGCCGCCACTGTCACTGTTTCTGGTGTCACCAGTGTCTACATCCTGTGGCCCTTTCTCAGCATTAGTCTCTCTTCATCTCAGGGACCCTGGCCCCACCTGGCCACGCCCTTTCCTGGCAATATTTGGTCTCTGTATTGTGCTAGACTCCCTCCTGCCTCACTGGTCTCTCTGAATCTCTTTCCTTTCTGTCCTCTTGGAGTCAGAGGGTCCCCATGCAGGGTCCTTAGCCTTCTTTTCTCTTCTTTCTGGACTCACTTCCTTGGTGACCTCGTCCAGTCCTGAGACTTTCAATGCCATGTGTGTGTCTGAGGTGCTGCCAGACCTCTCTCCATCCTCCCTGGGCTTCACGCTTGTGTACCCAGCAGCGGGGCAGAAATCCTCTGTTGTGTCTCGTAGACACCATGGGCTCTGTGTGTCCACAACTAAACACCACTGTCCCCCTCTAAGCCGTGTCCATCCCAGTTGCTGGCAACTACGGCTGTCCTGGCACCCAAATCAGATCACTGGCACTGTATGAGAAAATCAGTTAGCTCAACTTTTTAAAAATATCCAAGGCCCAACAACTTCTCACCCCCACTTTCCTCCCACCCTGGTCTGAGGTGCTACCTTCTGTCCCCAGATTGTTGTAGAACCTTCTCTCAGAATTCCTTGCCTCTACGCCTGCTAAGTAGAGCCTGTTCTCACCAGTGCCGCAGGGACCCCTGTGAAAACACATCAGATTGTGCCATGCTCTGCTGAAAATCCCTCAGTCGCTCAGAGTAAAGCCAGTGTTCTTAGTGTGATGTGGAGCCCATGTGGTCTGGCCTCACCCAGCTCTAGGGATCGAACTCACAGCCTTGCACCGAGCTACATCCTCAGCCCTTTTATATTTTTCACACATTCTGAGACAGGGTCTCCACAGGCCACTAAGTTGCACAGACTGAGCTCAAATGGGATCCTCGGGCTGCAGGCTCCCAGAGTGCTGGTACGGTAGGCGTGCACCAGTGTCCCGGCCAGACCTCATCTTTTGTGACTGTCACTTTCACTCGCTCTGCCTCTGCCACCCTGGAGCCTGTACCCAAGCAGGCTGCTTCCATGAACCCACTGTTCTTTCAAATGACGTGAAAGGGGACTCGGTCAAAGCTGGTTTCTCTGTGGATTGTTTGATCTTCATGGGTTCTCAAAGGCCCAGTGGGGAGCTGGAGAACAAAAGTGTGTAGAAGACCATTGCCTAAGACCCCATACTGGCAGCCAAGGTGCTGAGTTCTAGTCTTAAGTATTCCTGCTAGCCTTTTTTATTTTTATTTTTGACACTTTAGTTTTCTTTTCTATAAAACCAGCATCTCACTAAAAGCTTGGATAGTAGATGGATGGGGTTGAATTGGATCATTGGTTCTAAAATCAGGCCTGCTCATTGAAAATGAAGATTCCTGCACCCCGTCTGATCTATCTAAGCAACCTCTGGGTGGCTTCCTAGAATTTTCAGCTTGTAATGAGTTTGCTAGGTGACCCTGATGGGCTGCTAGGTTTGAGAACCATTGCTGCAGACAAATAAATGCCCACGGCCTCTTCCTAGCATTGTATGGATCTGGCTGTGTGTTCTGGATGTCCCAGGCTATAACTGCTGCGGTTCGACATAACCCCACCGACAGAAAGAGACAAAGCTCGGTTCCTCGTCACAGTGACTTGCCTCTCTCACACCCGTGTTTTCATCAAGCTGTTTTATTCCTGGGTGAGGTCATCAGGGAACATCATCCCCACACCTCCATCCTTTAAAAGAGGATGTAGGATTTTTTTTTTTATTTCTCTGTTGTCCTCCCAGGGCCCCTTTATTTTGTACAGTAAGCTTTTCAATTTGTATAAATTATTAAACTGAATAATGTGTTCCTCCTTTCTCCCTTGGCAGGGGAAGTTAAGAGTGCTAGCAGAGGGTGGGGGAGCACTGAGGTTGTATAAAGTTCCTCCAAATTTTCCCACCGTGGGGCTCCAGCTCAGCAGCCCCACCAGCACCCAGCCCTATTAGAACAGAGAAGGGAAGGAGCAGGCCAGAATCCTCCCTCTCTCCCTGCCACAGGGCTTGGGGAAGCTCTTACTGAGGTCATGTTCTGGTGAAGACTCAAGATCAACCTTTATCTTCCCCTTAAATGTCTGATTTTATAGCTTCCCCTTCTTCAAGCCAGAGAAAAGGATCTGCTGATCACTGTTTACCATCATTCGCAGGAACTTTCTTCCCCAAATCCCCCTCTCCCATCCCCAAAATGTGCTTTCAGAGCTAAAATTAAAGCCACTTCCTGTTCTTTCGATGAGGACATGAGCTGATCAAAGCTGAGGCTCTGGCTTCTGGGCTTTGTAGAGAAACACCAGGCCTCAGCTAGCTTCCTAAAAGGGCCACGATCGTGTATGAGTTGGGGTGTTCGGGAGCGAAGCTCAAGAGGCAGCTTACCTAGTGGAAAAGCACTGCTGACCTGGGAGTCAGGACAGAGATCCGGATTTCATTCCAGGCTCTGCCTCTCATCACTGTGTGACCTTGGACGTGTCTCTCCCTTGCCTTGGGTCTCGATTTTCCTTATCCATAAAATAAGCAAAGACTGGAAATCGTATTTTGAGTTTACTTACAATTCCACAAAATTAAAGCCTCGATAGATGTATTTTGTCTACATTGACTTCTTTGTGCACAGAACTGAATACAATGTTTCCTTCTATATATTTTGTCCTAGGATTTCTAGGCTGGTGGCTGAGGCAGCAGGGGGCTCTCTGTGCAGGCTCTTCCTTTTGGGGAATTCTTTATTCCTTGACAGTTTCACTGGGATTGGATGAGAGGCCAAAGACAGAAGAAAGTAGTGGGAGAGCAAGCCTTTGTCATTGGCAATGCCAGAGGAAGTAACAGTAGAGGAGACTACTGTCAAATTTCTCATCACAGATCAATCTTTCTCCTGGGAAAAGCAATCCCGTCAGACGGTATTCAACATTAACATGAATGAGCTCTATAAAATCACTAGCTAATGAAGAAAAAAAAAAAACAGAGCACAGGGAAAAGCTCTAAGCTTGCAGTGAGATAACTTGGGTTTAAGTTTTGGCGTAAAATATAAACTGTGAAGGTTTTCAGCTTTGTGAACCTTGGAAAATTCCCCACATCCCTTTGTCTCCACTTCCTCATCTATAAAATGAGCATCACAATACCTAACTTGTTATGAAAGTGAGTGGGTACAAAAGTGCTTGAACCATAGGAGAAACTCAAGCTTAAAAATAACCTTCAACTGTTTGGGCCTAATGTATGCTCGAGCACATCAGTTGAATTCGGGGTTTGATTGGTTTGGTTTGGTTTGGTTTGGTTTGGTTTGGTTTGGTTTGGCTTGGGTTGGGTTGGGTTGGGTTGGGTTGGGTTGGGTTGGGTTGGGTTGGGTTGGGTTGCTCTAGGTTGGGTTGGGTTGGCTTGGGTTGACTTGGCTTGGCTTGGCCTCATTTGGCTTGGTTTGTTTGCTACTGCTGGAGAACACAGGGCCTCCACACTGAGCTCCATCTGCAGCCCTTTTTACTTCTTATTTTGAGACAGGGTCTTGCTAAATCCTTAAGTTGTGCTCCCAAGCTGGGCTCAAACTTGTGATCCTCCTACCTCAGCCTCCAGAGTATTGGCATGACAGGTGTGCACCACCACACCTGGCTTGTTTCTGACTTTGAAGTTGTTGTCATCATCATTAACATCCACCTGCATTTCCACTAAGCAAAAGCAGAGCTCTGTCAAACTCCAGCCCAGCCTTCATCTTAGCACAGTAAACGAACACTGTCAACTGCAGCCGCTGTCATTTCTCCTAGACTTTTCAGACTCCAATGATGGAAGCTGAGAGTTACTCACCTTTATATTTCCAGTGCCCATCCCCAGTAATTATTGAGAAAAAGGTTGTTAGATAAATAAGAAGCACACAGCATTGGTTACTTTTAGTTTTTACACCAACAATAAGAATAGTGAGAAACAATCTTATGTTTCACTGTAGCTTGTAAAGAATTTTGCATTTATTAAATTAACATATTCCTAATCAGAAACTCATGACCAACATTATTCCCAATCAAGATTGTGTTCCTATTTCACAGTGGGATGGGGCAAGGGCCTGCCAAAGGTTAAAAAAATGGGTAGGACTTAAACAGTTTATGTACAGAGAAGCATCCAATCCAAGACCCAGGGCCATGGTTCCTAGCCTATCCCATAATGGCTAGCATCCACTGAGAAAAGTTATTGTAAACGCTAACATGTGCAATGTACCAGGCTCTCAGAACATCGGAAGCATTTAGAGCTAGTCCGAAGAAGGATTGTATATTCATTTTTGAAATTGTGTTCTTCCTGCAAGGCCTGCCTAATGGTCATCTCCTCCCTGGAGTCTTTGGGGTTCCCCCAGAAGTAAGACGCCCCCTGAAGGCGCAAAGCACTGACCTCTTTTGTCTGTCCCACCAGCACACCGGCTGAGTTGTGCAGTGTCCTAGGCACACGTATTCCCCTTACATCTCTCCCCGCCTGGCCCTGAAAATGAGGAGCGTATCATCTTCATGTTTGTACCCCTTTCAAAGTCCCCACCTGACTGGCTCTCAGTGTTCTGCAGCGGCATTTGCTGCTGGGCAGACTGGGGATCCCTGGCCTTCTGGTACAGTGGATAGCAGATTGTGAGGTGGAAGAGGAAAAGGCAAAAAGTGAAAAAATCCTGAAAACTAAAAGCAGTCTCATGTCGACATGAGGTTGAGAATTCAGTTTCTTG